CCCCACATAACCCCCCCCCCCACCACCCTCAAAATTCTAGCCGCGTTACGTCCGTAATGGATGCACAACCGTGCAAAGGAAAAGCAGCGCCCTGGGCGAATGAGCCCCCTGATAATGAGGTCCCTTGCGAGTACCACCTTTACATTTCTGTGCATGGATCTAGTGGGCTAGAAAGAAATATCAGACAGAGTAGATATATGCAATTTTAAAAAATATATTTAAATCTAAATATATCCAATTGGGCAACTTTTATAACATATCTTTGAAGACAGAAGAGTTCTCCTTGTTTTCCCACAATGGCGTCGAAATGACAAAAGACTCATGAACTGTAGACCTGTAGGCTACTTTTTTTATTATCTTGTTCAATTTTGTTAAATGGTTATTGTACATGAACAAAAAATACGCTACCATAGGCCTTTAGTTCCATCAGGTAAAGAGGAAGTTTTAATTTTCTTTCACTAGAAATAATTAATCGCGCTTAAATTTCATTGCCTTGCCTTAATGCCTTAATTAGATACTTTGGTACTTTGGTCAAAAATTTAAACATTTTGTAAAAATAAACCAATGGCATATTTGAATAGAGCTAAATTTTTACAGAATTATAACACCAAAATTATATTTTTAGCTGTTGTAGTTTTAAAGTTATGAATTTTTAAAGTACGACTTGGTTTGTCCTTTTTTAACATGGACTGCATCTCCACATTCTGTGACCTCATTCCGCCGATCACGTCATGCGCAATGACTATATAGTTTATATAAATATAAGGCTAAGGCATTCCCTTATCACTAAAATACTGTTTAGGGTCGATTTATTTTAAACTTTCAACTTTGGCACATGAATAATTAATTAAAGCTTTCCCTGACCAATGGTTTAATAGTTACCCACTGCATTGCCCAGTGTTAGTCCTGTAGACAGAGAGGAATGGAGGAGGATGGTTCACATGTCATCTGTGGTGCCCCAACGGTCCAAAATTCAAGGACTAAGGGACATGAGGATGAGGAGGATGGATGTAAGCCTAGACCCGCCAAAACTATGATTTTCAGAGACTCTGTGAAAAATATTATGATTATGGTAATTTTTTCCGATAAAATAAAATACATTATTGGTTGTTGAAGTTTTAGCACTCTCTAATAAAGATCTGGCAGTGAATGGAACAAGAAAAACTATTGGTTTTAATATTTTTTAAAGTTTAGACAATCATATTTTATAATATGTACGCACTGAGAGGGGAGGTGGGGGTTGTTGATTAAGGAGATTTTGCATATGAGACGCTTGGGGCTAATGGTAGTTGGGGATGCCACGACGTCTTTTTTTCGGTGTTTACATGTGGGAGTCACTTCCCTTTGTTTAATTTTAGATAACTAATATTTTTATGCATTAGTATTAATTCGCCCGAGGAATGTTTAATATTATATTGTATTTGTTTCTTTTGGGTTTTTATTTTCATAATAAATAAAAAAAAGAAATATATTTTTTAAATATAGACATAAAATTTTATGTTCTTTTTTGACAAAATGGTGAGAAATTATTTTTTTTTGTTGGGTACTTTATAATGATGCGGATATAGAAAGGAGTGCTTAAATATTACTTCTGTTGCTATTCTTGATTGCTTGACTGGTTTCCCGGTAAGTTCAAATTTGTTTTTTTTTTTTTTTTGCATTGTCAACAGTTTTAGTTTGATAAATATTGGTAAATTTATGCAGATGG